AAATGAAATGCAATATTTTCCTAAGACTGAGGCCTCTGCATCCATGTAAATATATGTGTGTATATACATATACACATACATACATATATATACACATATATATAAACACATACACAGAGAGACACACACACACACACACACACACACACACACAGAGAGAGAGGGAGGGAGGGAGGGAGAGAGAGAGAGAGAGAGGGAGGGACGGAGGGAGAGAGAGAGAGAGAGAGAGAGAGAGAGAGAGAGAGAGAGAGAGAGAGAGAGAGAGAGAGAGAGAGAGAGAGAATAGTTACCAAATTGTGCAAAAGGACCCAGTTTGTAGTCTGGAAAACTCAAATTATTTTCCAAAAATAAAATACCAATACTACATGGTCAAAAACAAAAAGCAGCTTCCTAGATAGGCTCTACTCTAACAGTTCCCTTTAGTTATGAGACAGGTTAGAATTTTCCAGGAGATCTTAGAGAGAGAGAGAGGTAACATGAAACAGCCAGGCTTTGAAACTACAGGTTCCCGTCCTATAATAACACCTTCCGGCTCCCAGACTGTTTTAGTTGTCACCCTGCCCCTGTGACCCTGAAGTTGACACAACTTCTCCAGCAGCAGGCTGGGACCTGTGAGCTGTTAGTTGCAAGCAAAGATTCGCTCTTATTTCAAGCACACGGGAAAAGTTGTCTTCTTCGGGTCACTCTGGTTTGCCTCCTCACCCAATACATAAGTTCAGGCAAAGGGCTATTTGCTCTCCCAAATTTCGTTTTGTGTGATATTAATTGTTTGCAGTCAAGTGAGAAGCCATTTGGAAATGAAAAAGTAAATTAATCCTCCACTCCATTCAAGCGAATGTACTGGGCCCTGTTGCTTATGGTGTTTTGTTTTCCTGATCTCAACTTTTTCTGTACTACGGGTTATAGAATGAGCCAGCCAAGTTCAAAGTCACACTCTCCGGTCCTAGAGTCAGACTGACCGATTTCAAAGTATTTCTGAGACACAATGAACGCATAAGGAAGGGCTGGAGGTGTTGTTGAGTGGCGACTCCCAATGATACTGTAACAGTTGCTGTTGAGCATGGAGGCTGTGGGGGAGAGACGGCTCCCTATCCTTATTTTGGACAAACATTGAGAGGTGAGAGTACATGGGGGCCCTGTAGGCTACTGATCATGTTTCCTGCAGCAGGCAGCTGGATTAGACCTTTAGCTACTCACAATGGTGCTAGGCACAGACAGACTGGTAACCTGATCCTCCAAGGAAAGCCCTCAAATGTTCAACTAAGTCCTCCATCTCCTCCTCCACTGATGCCCAGTCCGTGTCCGGTGAGGACCAAGGGCAGGTTGCTATTTTTCCTGCCATCTTCATCTTCCTTCTAGAAGAGAGTGTGGAGACCTTCCCACATCACATCTACATGCTCTCCCAAACCCTCCGAGGCCGAAGGAAACAGAAGGGATGTGAAGTAAAGCTTGATTTATTAGCAGGGGTAGCCTTTCCTCTTTCCCTGGTATGGTGGAGTCCTCTGTGTCAAAAACGGGAGCAAGCCTAAGCCTGCTAGCTTTGCTCCACACACATCTGACGTGTCTCATCTGTATCCGGACACGCAGAGCTGAGCGTTGGCTGCAGAGGACGCCATCTGTCCTTGAAACCAGCCCACGGCAGACACCGGCTAAGGAGAGGATTCGTTACTGACACTAGTTGCTTTGTCACATAGTGAAGCGGTGCTTTTCCTAGGGCGGGTGATCCCGTTTTCCTCCTCTCGGATGTTTCCTCAGCAACATGGGAGCGAGCTCGACTGGAAGGGGAGAGGCTGTCAGCCGTCCGTTTGTTCTATGAGCTTATGTTTTAGATCATGAGGAGGGGGCCCGGTGTGTGGGAGAGACAGAGTCCTCTTCATGATAATGTGTCTACAGCTAACTGCAGAACCCCCGCCCCCCCAAGCATCATTCTAGGCACAAGGAGGCAGCTGTTCTTTCGGTAGGAAGAATAAAGCAGAGACGCTGGACTTGCACGACTGGAATCATGTCAGGAGAAACACATTCAGCACACGCTTTGGGCAATGTGTGTTTCTTACTGTGTTTCTGATGGGGTCAATATTGCTACCTACAAACCCAGGGACGGGTGGTGCATCAGACCTTGTCCGGAAGTAAGGGCAGATGCCACAGGTTCAAGCTGAAAGCCAAATGTGTGAACTCCTTTTAGCGCCTCACCGCAGTGGTAAAACACCTGACCAAAACCACCAAGGAAGGAAAGGTTTATTTTGGATCAACACAACACGGGGAGAAATAGTGGGAGAAGTTTGTTACAACCGCCCTTAGAAAAACACAGGTGCTGGGGGCATGTCAACAGGATATGATTCCATCTCCCCGAGCTTATGAATACTAGAGCAAGGCTTGATGGGTGTTGAAAAGGAGATACTGGGGCTGAAGAGATGGCTCAGCAGTTGGGAGCATTTACTGTGTTTGCAGAGCATGGCAGCTCACAAAAGTGTTTAACTGCAGTTCTGGAGGGATCTGACACCCTCTGCTGGCCTTCACAGGTATTGCATGCACAGGTGTACATACATATGTACATACGTACGTACATGCAGGGAGAGACTCAGACACATAAAAAGTAATGTTTTAGACACAGCAACGAGAGAGAGAGAGAGACTAGAACTGCAAAACTGAGGTTGCTGCTTATGTTTCCATTCCCCTCCCACTGGCTTGTTAGAGACATAGCTTTCTGCTGATCTGTCTTTGCCAATCCCAAAGACTGAACCCCAGGCCTCACATGAGACAAGTCTTCTGCCATGGAGCTGTGCCTCATCCCAGGGTCGCAGACTGTTTGGAGTGGGAATGGATCACAGACTGTCCGCAGGGTTGGAGCATGGAGTCAGGCTGTGATAGGTTGCTTGCTCCCCACCAGTAAGCCGCCCACAACCCACACCGTTGACTCTGTATGAGAGCAACGTCCCTGTGGCCAGCTCTACACACACACACACACACACACACACACACACACACACACACACACACACACACACACACACACGGATGATCACCTGTGCAGGGCGGCCACTTTGATGTAGGTCATATAACAAGGCATATTCTGGCCCTTTGCCTGGGAGAACTGTCATTTCTGGGTGGGGATCACTGGTTTGTCTGCTGTGCCCTGCACAATGAGAATGCCACTTTGCCCTCAGCATCTCTGACCACGGAGACCTTTGTTAGCAGAAAATGACCCCGATTAATTTGAGAGAGAGAGAGAGAGAGAGAGAGAGAGAGAGAGAGAGAGAGAGAGAGAGAGAGAGAGTGCGCGTGTGTGCGTGCGTGCGTGCCTGCGTGCGTGCGTATGTATGGGCAACCCTGTCCCGCAGCACACAGTAAGCAAAGCAGACCCATGCTCTGCAGACTGCAGGAATGTTTTGGACCACTGTGACTCCTGTTATCCTAGACATTCTGTCCCACACCCCTATATTCCTGCTACTATCACCCTGGAAAGCAGACACTGCATTCGCCTTTCCAGGATGTGTCTGGGAAGCTATGTAAGCCTTCACCCACAAGCAAAGCCCGTGAGGAGTTTATCTAGAGCCGAGTCTGGCCAAGCAGAGCCTGTGTCTCCTTCAAACCAGCAAAGGGGCAGGACACAGTCTGGCATGTCCGGGTAAGAGAAGGAAGCAGGCCATCATAATCCCTGCCATACTTGGCATGACGGAATCAGAATGTAGCCACCCAGGATCTCACTCTTGAGACAAGACCAGATGCCTGTGTCACGGTGTCACATGAAACCCAAAATTGATTTTTAAAACCAAGGGACCTGTGCAATCAGTCCAGACGACGTGACAGAAAAAGCACTGGAGTAACTGCCTGACCCACTCAAGGTCAGGGAGCTCATTAGTGCTAGTTCAGAGTCAGCCGAAAGCCCCTTCCTGTTTCCCAGCAGAATCAAGTACCCTGCCTGTGCTGAGGTGTCGGAGTGGGGGCGTGCTCTCAGGAGGACACCCACACTCTAATTGACCTACTGACACACTCATATCACACACACACACACACACACACACACGTGTGCACACAGAAAGAGAGAAAGAAAGAGAGAGAGAGAGAGAGCAAAGAATGAAACCATAGGAACAGTTAAGAGGAATGATACCCAAGGAGAGCCAGATAGCTGCCGGGGAAAACATAACCGGCTAACACGGTGCATAAATGAAACAATCCCGAGGTCTCACCTCACAGAGGATTACTCTGCCCTGGAATTTGGTGCCGGTTTGTATCCCCAAATACTAAAATGGACAAGAAAGAAGCCTCTAGTAATGCAGTGGTATTCCCTCATAATGGCTCTTCCAAACCCTTGGTTAGAAATCACCTGAGGGCCTGGCCTCAGAGATCTGGGGGCAGGGAGCACAGGTGGAAAGTCATCCTGACCTCTGAGGATCGGAGGACCACAGGCCAAGGAGGTCCCTTAGTGTCCAGGAGTGACATTCAAGATGGGTGAGGCAGTGACAGGGCCTGCTAGGAGTGATGGTAGCCAAAGACGCCAGAAGCCATCTGCTCTGTTGGTGACCAGCACTCCCAGGAGGAAGCAAGAAAAGAAGTTATCGAGAAGAAAGGGACCACACTGAATTTCAGAAATATAAATACCTGTTTGCTTTCTAAGTGGGGAGAAGGAAAGGGTGAGGAATTGGATGGATAGGGACCTGGGGAAGATCTGGGAAGAGTTGGGGCAGGACAAACCATGATCAGAATATATCATATGGAAAGACTTTTGATAAAAAAGAATCATATATATGAACACAACTCTACATGGCTTTCTTTTGATTAATCATTTATCTGCTTACACACAATTTTCTTCTCTCCAACACACGTTTCAGTTAACAGGGAAAACCCCCTAACAACAAGTAGCCTAAGGATGGACAAAACTCGGTAGCAATGGTGTCACATGTTATCAACCTGTAACAAGGTGTCAATCATGGTGAAATGATCCCGGCTGATTGCAGATATAGTTACTAAGACGGGTAATTCTTTTTAAAGACTGAACTTACCAGTGCTGTCATGTCCTTTTGAGGTGATGGTCTATGTAAGCTTCCAGAACTTCTGCACCTGTACAAAGACACAAAAGCCTTGAGGTAAATTCTACAGAAGGCAATGTCCTGAGGCAGGGCACAGCATAAAAGTTCACTTTTAAGTTGCACCCATGCTTTGTGTACCTAAGTGGTGTCCTCACTGTAAACATCCATCCAGCTATTGAAATAGACAGAATCCAAGTGCTGCCCTCATTCCTTTTGGTCATAGCAAGCATTACAGAGCCCCCAGGACACCAGAACACGCAGGCAGCAGCTGCCCCGGTGAAAGGCAGAGATCTCTAACAAGATCTTCGTTGCCACTCTGTCTTTAATTCGCTTCAGCATAAGCTTGTTGCTTACTTGTGACACTTACAGATGTTTAGTATCGTCTGGCTAGTTTCTCAGTTTAAAATACTTGAAGATCATGATTCGTCAGATTCACATATTAGTCATCTCTACTGCAATGTTTACCTTTCAAAGAGATGTTACCCTGTGTCTTAGTTAGGGTTTCTTTCTGTGATTAACCACCACCAAAAGCAACTTGGGGAGGAAGGAATTTGGCTTACACTTCCGCGTCATAGTCTGCTATTGAAGGAAGTCGGCACAGGAACTCAAACATGTCTAAGCCCTGGAGGAAGGAGCTGATGCAGAGGCCATGGAAGGTTGCTGCTTACCTGCTTACTCCTCCTGGCTGACTAATACTGTTTTCTTATAGACTCCAAGACCACGTGCCCATGGATATCACCACCCAGGGGACTGGGCCCTGCCCCATCAATCACTAATTAAGAATATACCCTGCAGGCTCGCCTATGGCCTGATCTTATGGAAACAATTTTCTTAGTTGAGGTTCCTTTTTCTCTGATAACCCTACCTCGTGCCCAGTAACACAAAACTGGTCAGCACGACTGAACCCTTGCAAACTTGACACATAAATGCATCACTGTTCAGCCCATCCCAAGATCACACATTGATATAAACATCACAGTATAAAATATTTTAGAAACTTATAATATCCTACGGTCATGCAAATTCAAACACTTTAAATGTCCAGTCTCTTTTGTAACCCAAAGTCTTTTATAATCACAAGTCTCTCGACCGTGGGCTCCTATGGAATCAAAAATAAGTTAAACACTTTATTTCAAGAGGAAAGAACCAGGGCATGTCATAATTAGCTCAAAGCAAAACCAAACTCCAACCATGTCAATATCCACTCAGTGTGCAATATCCAGAACTCACCATCTTCCAGGTTTCTTCAAAGGGCCTGGGTCCCTTCCCGGCTCCGCCCTCTGCAGCGCACCAGCTCGTCATCTAGACTCAGGCAGGACCCCACTCTAGGGCTGCTGTTATCCCAAGGTATTGGCATCTCTAAAGTTCTGGGGTCTTCTGCTGCAACTGGGCTGCGCTTTCACCAAAGGCCTCTCCTGGCCTCTCCAAGTGTGGAGCTCCATCTGCTCTCCATGACCCCTTTCATGCCTCCAGAACCGACACCACCTGGGAGACTCTTTCACGTGACCAAGTTCAGCTGCTAGCACAAGGTACAACCTTGGCCACCTGTACAACACAGCTTTTGTGTACTGATCCCGAGGAAACACCTTGCGAAAGATTTCACATCGGTGAAGCTGGTTTCTTCTTTATCACCACCAATTTCTCGGCTCCAACTATCCAACACCGATAGTCCTGGTAAAGCAGTTGTTTGGCTTCAGGGGTGCTGCTCTCTGGTTGGTCATGGCTGACTCTTCAGCCCCAGCTGACCAGAACCGTAGAGTCTTAAATTCAGAAGAGCAAAGGGCCGGAATACAGTCTTCATCGTCTCTCTGAACTTCACAAGCCGGGCCTCCATCATCTGGACGGCTCTTGGCATTGTCTTCCAACCCTCCCACAGAACAGTCCGTCAAGCTTTGAACACTTAAAGACTTCTCTAGCACAAATTTACAAAGTCCTTCCGCAGTCCTTCCCGAAACGACACAGTCAGGTCTGTCACAGGGAAACTCCACGATTCTGGTGCCAATTTCTCTCTTAGGGTTATCACTGACCTGAAGAAGCACGACGGCCAGAAGCAACTTTGGGAGGAAAGGGTTTACTTGCCTTATGCTTCCCCTTCTGTTCATCCTCAAAGGAAGTCAGGACAGGAACGCAAGCTGGGCAGGAACCTGGCAGCAGGAGCTGATGCAGAGGCCATGAGGAGTGCTGCTACTTACTGACTTTCTCTCATGGCTTGTGCTGTCTACTTTCTCAAAGAACCCAGGACCACCAGCCCAGGAATGGCCCCACCCACATGGGCTGGGCCCTCCCCCACCAATCACTAATTAAGAAAATGCCCTACAGGCTTGCCTGCAGCCTGATTTATGGAGGCATTTTTTTTTCAGCTGAGACTCCCTCCTCTCTGATGACTCTAGCTTGTAACAAGTTGATATAAATGGGTGAGGACACCTGTATTCTTCTAGTTCGCTATCTATTGCTGTGATAAACACCATAACCAAACCTTAGAGAGGAAAGAGTGATGCTGGCTTATGCTCCCAGGTCACAGTCCACCGTTTGGGGAAGCCAGGACAGGAACTCAAGCACCAAATGACCCAGAAGCCAAAGAGAAATGCTACTTCATGTTTAGTTCCCCAGCTCTCGTACAGTCAGCTTTCTTACACTTCCCAGAAACCCTTGCCCAGAGACGAAGTCACCCACAGGGGGTTGCTCCACCCAGTTCAATCAGAAAATAACCCCACTGGCATCCCCATGGGTCAATCTGACTCAAGCAGTCCTACAATTGAGACTCAGCGAAATGTGGGCTGTATCAAATTGACAGCTGAACCCGATTAGAGATTATGTTTGGGGAAATCTCTTAAAAACACACGTTAGAAGTCATCAGTGGGATAAGTAATACGTAATTGTGTGCAGGAAATGAAACTTTGTAATGTTTCAAAATATTTTCATAGCTTCTTATGCTAAAAACCAGTAATCATTATTTCTCTCCAGGTGCGGCATTAGACGATTCAACACAAAATAACCACCTGCTCTAAAGAACAAGCTGGATTCAAAATAAAGTCAAAATCATCAAGATATTTAATTACTGCTCTTCTTCCAATATGATTACAGATCCCCAGAGGCTGGCAATGTTTCCAGCCTTCCTTTACCTCTTGAAGGGTACAGAGAGCACCCTGTGAGCATCCCTAGGCTGGGAGCACCCTGATCCATGATCGCACAGGGTACAGTGGGAATGCTCTCCTAATAGCCAGTCCCCTGCCTCAGCTCCTTTCTCTTCTATTGTAGGGTGCTAGCTGAAGGGAGTGTCCATTCTAGGTCTGCCTTTGCAGAGAAAGGAAGTGATAAGGCAGGGTGTAGACAGGATCTCAGCCCAGCCCATTTTGGGCTGAGGAGCCAGAGGGGTGAAGAGGTGACTGTGATCTTTCAGCTTTTATTCCAGTATCTGACTCCGGGTTTTTATTATTAAGACTAATTAGGTTCATGCATCACAGCTCTCTGTTGTAAGTGTCTCTGCCCTTCAGGAGAGTCAAGCTATGCATACCTGGGAAGAGCGGACCCTGCTGTAAACAGCTCCCAACACCTGGAGAACTCATATGTCCTTGTCATGAGAGATTTCTATCCGGCCTGCCGCATGCAACACCTCCCGGCTGACTGGAATTTTTCCAGAAAACTTAGTACTGCTTTTGTTTTTGTCCTGGTCTGTCTGGTTCACCTTAGCTCCTGGGGCATGATCAATAAAGCACCTATCAAATGAGCTCCCCCGCCCCTGGCCAACACATACCACCACCATCCTCTGGGGCAATCCAGAGGATTGAGAAGATTGAGAGTAGCTTGAAAAAAAATAAATTCTGCTGTTGTGTGCTTTGTATTAGGTGTGTAATGCCGTATTAAAAAGTGTGTCAAATGGGTTCTTCCTGAGGGTCTGCTAGCAGGTAACAGTTACTATGGGAGGGGAATCCCGTTTTCTTTGGTCAGTACCCATGTTCCAGTACATAACCCCTACCCATGCTCCTGTAAGCAAATCTAATTTAACTTTAGTTGAGCATGCACACAGAACACATAAAAGTCACACCTGGTCTTGTTGGGAATAAGGAGCTTTTCAGTAGAGAGGGGTTGGGGTAAAACTGATTAAAATTCACTATATGCATGTTTGAAGCCATCGAGGGATTAAAAAGAAAGTACATCAAGAACAAGCAGCATTTGGGGCTGAGCATGTTAATTTAAGGAGCCCTCCCTGGGTTCTTCTGCAGACCAGCTCTCTCTTGCCGAGCTCCCCCCTCACACCCCAGAATCTTTCTGCCTCACCCAAATGTCAGAGGCCAATGAAAGAAAACACACATGGGGCCTGGAGGGATGGATCATGCCTTGCTGCCCTTGCAGAGGATCCAGGGTCCGTTCCCAGCACCCACATGGTGGTCCACGACCGTCTCTAATTTCATTTCCGGGGCATCAGACACCCTCCTCTACCCTCCTGTGGCACCAGGCCTGTATGCGATGCATATAAATCCAGGGGTTAAAAAACATTCATACACAGAAAATAAAAATAAATAAAATCTTTTTAAGAATACATGTCCAGAAAAAAAATCGCAGGAAGTTTAGGAAACTTGGTGTGATATTTTAATATGACATCATTTTTAAAAATGTGAAGTAAACAAAAACAGATGCAAAATTCTATATGAGAAACAAGATTGAAGATAATATGGGGTTTAATATTGCTGGTAACCTTCCCCTCCCTGCGCCAGCTGCACGATGAGCTCAGAACATAAATCTGGCCAAACCGATCTGAAAATACCACGCTCTCTGGTAAGGACGTCTCTTATAAACAACCTTCGGGGTTAGAATAGTAAAGGGCGTGAGTAACCCACAGCTGAGGAGATTAATGCCTTTCTCTCCAGCCAGAGGACCGGCTACAATGGAATGACCCACTCTGATAGATAGCTTGCCACAATAACATTAGGACCAAGTTCATCAAAATAGCCACATCTGTGGTAGAAATAATCCACCAGGGACTATTTTTTTTGCCTTCCTCAATAATCTGATGTATATGTCTTTCTCACGCCCCTTTAGATAACAACCCTACCCAAAGCAGATCCAGACACGCTAAGAACTGCGTGAGTCTCTGAAGCCAGGAAAAATGAGTCCATCATCCACAATGCCTCTAACATAGCTCAAAGATAAATCACCAGACAGTGAAATCTTAGTGTCTCTTGTTCAGTAGCCTATGGCTGCAAATGTGCAGTGTGTCTGATGGATATATTCACGGGGACTTTTTGGGATAAAGAGAATGGTGTAAGTTAGCACGTCCCTGGCAGAAATACGACCGAGGGTGTGCATGCTGGCATTCTTTTGTCTCTGAGTATAGATCATGCCCAGGTCCCTGGAGGGCACACACAGCCCCCTGGGTTTTGCTTCTGGGGCCTTGGCGCTCTTGAGGAGTTACTTTAGTAAGACAAATGGCTAATTCTCCCCAGCCAAATGCTGCACATTTCATGATTAAAGACAAGCTTCCCTACACCGTGCTTCATCTGTTTCCCCTGCAGTGAAATATGTGTGGATTTATATTTTTTCTTTCCTTCATAAATACGAGCAGTTTGTAAAGTGCTGCGGGAATCATCTCCGTTAAATCTCCCACATGATGATGAAGGGAACTTCCCTGTTGTTGTTTCTTTCTTTAAAGAAAAGAAATAAGGCACAAGACACCATCTAATGATTTCATGACAAAATCTATTCAATTGTGTTGTTTGCAATGTGAAATAAGTAGAATTTAGCACATCCACTCAACCCCACTGGAGTAAATTCACGGTCGCTGAAAGGTAAGGGCACGGTAAACACATGCATTATTAATCATCCCACACCGTTCAGCTGAACACGGGTGGCTTGCAGCCAATGTCCAAGCTCTCGTTTTTTCCAAGTCATGTAAATCTACTATGCATTGTAGAGGTTATTGGATTCTTCATCTTTCTCATACATTTTACCAGTTTCTACCATGGGCATGTGATACCCAGGAGCTAGGAATGCAGTAGGAAGGGGCAGGGGACGCTGGTGCCAGGGATGGGTATGACAGCAGCCATAATGAACACACCCTTGGCGGATCTCTAATGCAGGATGCACACACAATGAACACACCGTTGGCTGATCTTCTCTAACGCAGGGTGCATACTGGAGGTCTTTCTTGCCGCCTAGGATTTGGCAGCAATTAGAGTCTTGGCCCTTTTGAGAGTGGGTACCAGGGCACTGGGTTTCTTTCTTGGGTGCCATCCCTCACTCTCTCTCACCGGCCCCTGATAGAATGCCTGCCATGCTGTGAGTTGAGTGAGAGAGCAATGCCTTAGCAGAGAACTATGAGGACTCTCAGGGAATGAGAATTCAACGACTGTACTTGGAAGCGTGACTCAAGGCACCCTAGGTGAGAGGAGGTGCCTACACCCTGGGCCTGCCTCTTTTATCACACCCTGTGGGAGACTCCCCAGCCTTAGGTCCTCACCGATGCTCGGGCCAGATCTCTCCCCTGGCCATCGCCACTGGGGAGCAGCCGAATACAGAGCAAGAGGTGCCACACACTTCTGCCTGGAGACAGAACCAGACAAGGGACAAGTTGAAACCTGCATGAGACGGTACATTGTGATGGCCAGCCACCTGCCTGCCAGGAAGAACTTCTCCACCAACAGGGAAGCCAATAGAACCATCAAAGGAGGAACCCCCCAGCCAGCCTCCAGACAGGGAGGAATAAATTCCAACATAAGCTGCCAAATCTGGGATATTTTGCTATGGCAGTCAGTAAGGCCCACTCCTCCTTCCCCATGTCTGTGGTGAAGCCTTCTCCAGAGTGCCTTGTCCAGCCACGTACATGGAACACAGTTATGATACACAGTAAAGACCCTGGAGTACTAAAGCAGGGGACGACTGTCAAGCAGGACTGACTTGTGAGGGCAACACTGACAAGCCTGGAGACTTCAACACACACACACACACACACACACACACACACACACACACACACACACATGCGCGCTTGACCAGAAGTGCTTGTAAAAAAGCATCAGTTAGACTAAGGAACACTCCAGAAAAAGTATGGAAGGAACACCATGGGTTTATTTACTCCTTACCCCAAATGTAAAACGGGAGAGGTGAGCTGAAGGAATCACTAACCAAAACACAGCCAGAACTTGAAGGCTAGGATAATTGTCAGCTTATTCAAATATATAGCCTGTGTGCGTGTACAATATGTGTATGTGATGTATATATA